TATAGAACTAACAATAACAATCGCGCCGTCAGGTTTAAATAGCGGCAAATCAGCCCTTCGAAACTTTCTACTGGGCTATGCAAATTTTACCCCTACCGAAACAACATCCACATCAAAGATTAGCTCGACAAAACATTACTAACATTTAAAAAAAATCAACGCGTGGTTGCTTGTTTGAGTCACTGTATATCTATTAAGCCAGTAGAGAAACGTACGTTTTGCCGATAGTGCATTTTTTGTATCCGGAAACGTACAGGAACCGGCTTCAATTTTCGTTAATTTTTCCTATTCGAAAAATGTTCGGAAATAATCATGTTTTTTTAAATCCATAATGTTAAAATATGTGCATTAGACTGCATCACCAAAAAAAATTGCGGTTTTTCCGCCAGGATTACAAAATCTATTATATTTTAAGACGTCCAGCAAAATATTTCGGAAAAAATATTAAGATTTAAACGAGCTGGACCGATTTGAAAATACCTCCAAAAATGGAGTTTTTTATGAATAAAAATAGTTTCTTAAAGAACTTTTTGAAAAAGGTCCCCTCAGATGACAAAACAGATTAGGCTTAAAAAATCTGCACAAAAATATTTAAAAAACTTTTCAACGGAATCGTAATAATGAGATTTTTGATGCTGTTTTTTTACCTTCTTACAAGATTGATTTACGAAAAACTTAAATAACTGGCCCTATTCTGCTTCAGACTTATGGGATCTCCCACTATTTTTATTTATGTGCAAAAAAAGTCATTCGTGTCTCAATTTTTTTCACATTTTAAGTCAACTTTGAATGATGTTCGTTCATCCTAATTTTCTCTTTCATCCTTTGAATGAGCTTATTAGCAAAGAAATAAAAAGGCTGAGAAAATACCTTTCAATTGATACCTCACAAGTCTAAATCAGAAGAGTTTAGGGTCAGTTATTCAAGTTTCTCTTATACCAATCTTTGAAAAAAGTTAAAAAACAGCAATAGAAATCTCATTATTACGATTCCGTTCATTTTTTTTATAATATTTTTATGTAAATTTTTTATGCTTAAGCCGTTTTGTCAGTTGAGGGGACTTTTTCAAAAAACATCTTTAAGAAACTATTTTTATTCATAAAAAACTTCATTTTTGGAGGTATTTTCAAATCAGTCCAGCTCGCTTAAATATTAACATATTTCCGAAATATTTTGGTGGACGTCTTAAATTTTATTGGTTTTATAATGCCAATGGAAAAACAGTACCGATTTTTTTTTTTGTATGGGGGGTGATGCGGTCTAATGTACATATTATGGAAGCATATGTACAAACTAGGAATTTTAATCCCGGGATTCTTGAGAAATAATCCCGGGATTTTCGGTATTTGTAATTTGCACTGATGGCAATAACAGGAACCCCTTTCCTTGGCCAGTATTGGCTATTTTTCTTTTGTTAATTAATAATAAATTTTTTTTTATAAATGTCTAGCTCATTATACATATAACACCGTGCGATAGTAAATATTAAACACAAAAATTAATATATTCGCGAAACCATGGGCCCAATATAGTAAAATTGCGTTTTTAGTTTTTCACTCTACGTCAGTAATTCAAAAATGATTTGAAAAATTCAGTCAAATGTGTTTAGAGAAAAAGTATGGGTATCACATTAATGAGGAAATTCTGAAGAATTTAAACAGATTCAATTTTTTGGTGCATAAGGACTGGTAAGTATCGAAAATGACCTTTTAATATTTTATCCTTGAAATTTCGCAATATTTGTTTTTCAAAAAATTATATGTTAAGGACTGATATAAACTCGATAACATCCTCGAATTTCGTCGTTCTAACTTAATGAACTTTAAAAATTACCTATTCGTCCTTGTGAATCGAAAAAATTTTAATTATTTTAAATTAAATTTTAAATTTTGAGCCTTTAAAGTGCTCCAGCAACTTATGACTTGCAAATATAACTTTCCTTTTCGGGATATAGGTTCTTTGGAGCAATAGAAATATTATCGAGTACAAATTTTATATAAATTCAACAAATAATGAGCATTTTAAAGCAAAAAATTGTCGAAAAAATTAGAATTTTTTTTATTACCAAAATGCTCGAAAACCCCTCGAATGATTTTGTTTTTGTTTTCTTTAGTCAAAAATTCAGGTGTTTTCCTTTCGTTTGGTATATGGGAAGTATTGGTTGAGATCTTCTAAGTATGTTTATTTTATCCGAATATATATGCGCTCAAATGATTTTCCATACAAAATCACTTCGTTAGCATTTTGGAAATACGTGCATGCGCTGGAAGTGTGAGAAGGAGGCAAAAAGTATGTTGTGTAGGTATTTCGGTTTTTGAGTAACAGATGGCGCAATATTTATAGCCTAATCGCAGCGTATGTATATAAATGTAGTTAATGTGAATCTTTTTTTATTTTAGTTATCTATGTACATATGTATGTGTGTACATATGAATGCATAACACGCGAAATTTTTTCGTCTTATAAGATCTGTACCGTTCGTTCGATTTTACAAACTGAGGTATCCAACCAAAGGGCTTGGCCTGTGGATGTGCAATAACATTTCACTTTTTCAGAAAGAGTTGCCACCTGATAAAAAATATTAAATTCAAATTATTTTTAGGCTAATTCCACTATTACACTATGAGTATCGTTCGAAATGGTTTTGAAAAGACTTAATTTCTCAATTATATGTAGGAAGGTTGCCACCTGTTTCAAAAAGCAAGTTCGACTTAAATAGAGGCAGAAAATTGAAATGTATATCCTGATATGGATCTCAGACGAGAGAGGTTGGGATTTGAAAGTATTTTTCAGAGGGTTGCCACCTTGTTACAAAGTTCGATTCAATATAAGCAATAATAATAATATTATAATAGATTGGCGGTTACACATATGTTAGTGTTTGGTCGAGCTTCTCCTCCGATTTGTGGCGTGCGCCTTGATGTTTTCACACAAAGTGGAGGAACTTACAGTTTTACGCCGACTCCGAACGGCGATTTTATTTTTATGAGAAGCTATTTTTCATGCCAGAAATACACTCGGAGGTTTGCCATTGCCTGTCGAGGGGTGACCGCTGTTAAGAAAAAAAGGCAGTAGATTAAATAAATTACTTCTATATGAATACAAATCAAAATGGTTTTAAAGAAATTTTGTTTCAAAACTGCATGTGGGAGGGTTTTTAGCTGGTTTCATAATTAAACTTAATTTGAATGAAGAGTTGTAGATAATTTAAATATGTATCACAATACAAGCTCAGGACGAAAAAGGTTTAACGAGGGTTTTTTTAAATAATTTAAACAGGATTGAAATATTGAAATATTGCCGTCTGGTTAAACGAGCGACGCATGCCGTTTAACCGTCGCAACCAAGAACTACTTTTAAAATTTAATTGCTTTAGAATTGTTACCTACTTATATATTGTATCTTTTGCCTTTGAATTATCTAACGTGTATCTACGTCAGGGGCGCACCCCCTAAAAGGGGGGTTTTATATTTCTGAAGATATATCACCGGAAAATACTGAAAATTTGCTTGATAATACGCTCTTTAAAATATTTTATGCAAGTTTTATGTGCAGTATGTAATAAATAAATAAACGTTTTAAAATTCATAAACTGCACTTTATTTACATAAGATTAACAGAACTCAAACACTTTTAACCGACTTCAAAAAAGGGGAGGTTATCAATTCGCCGGAATACATAACTTTTTTACCACGTGAACCTCTTTCAATAATCCTTTTTTTATTGGAAAGATGGTACCCGTAATTTGGTTTAGAGATCCGATGATTGGATCACGATGAAAATTAACGGTACCCCTAAATTTGTATATGAGAATTGAAGTCGGTTGTGTTCTTTCCTTAAAAACTACTTGTTTAATAAAAAGTTCTATAAACTCAAGATGCGCTCAACTTTCAAAAGTACCTAATAAAAAATTTTAAAAAAGAGTCAGTAAAAATAAATTTATTGATTCCATGAATTTTTGCACTTTTATGTTAATTTTTTCGATTTCTGGTTTCTGGTTTTCGATAGATGGTGATTTTTCACGATTGCTAAATTTTTTTAATATTTCGAGTTGCGAAAAAATTAACTGAACTCTCAAGAAAAACGAAAAACTCATATAAAACGACGGACGAGAAATGGAAAAGAAATTTTCTTCTACCAAATTTTCATAAATCAGTTTGCAGCTCTCAAGAAAAAACGCTCGTATATTTATTTCCTCATGAAAATATACAGCAAAAGCAAAGCGCTTTTTCAAGCAACAGAAATTATAATAAATATTTCTTATAATTTCCTTGAGTTTGTATTTGAGGTTATTAGCTTTAGGGAGGGTTTGAACCCCAAAACCCACCCCTTGTTTGCGCTAATGATCTACGTACATATTGTATCTTTTGCCTTTGAATTACTTAACTTGTATCTACCTACATACATACATATTGTATATTTTGTCTTTGAATTGCCTAACTTGAAAAAATATTGTAATTAGTGAATCCCATGAATTGTAAAATTTGAAGTATTTTATGAATTTGCGTGGTTGGCAACGCGCGTAGGTAAAGCAGTGCGCAGCTGACATTTTAGGTTGACAAAATGTCAACAAAAGAAAAAGTAGATACACACTTATATTTTTCAATCACACAGCCGAGCGGTCATCTCATTGTAAAAGAAATTCGCAAATCGTTGGATATTAATTAAAGACTTGTTTTAAAATCAAAATTCGCAGTTTTTCCTTTGTTCAACTAAAGTGCATTTGAGTTCGCAACTTATATACACAGATTTCGAACAGTGCCACACTCGGTTGCCTTGTTTCGGGAAACCTCCTTTTTATCTGAGTGCCTTTTGCCGGTTCCGCGATAAGTTCGCCACATCGCATCGTACTCCAGGTTCAAAGTCATCGTCCCCTGCGCTTCCCGCCGCATCTTGCACCAGGAGCGTTTTAACGTCTTCCACCGGGAGACACTACCGCGCAAATCTACATCCGTCGGCGTCCAGTGTGACGAGCCCGCAAAACACCATCCACGCTACGTCCTTGCCGTTACCATTTACGTCGCCACCACCACCCGGATCTGTATCCGTAACCACCAGCCGTCGTTTCCAACGCCCACTACAAAGCCACCACCCGGATCTGTATCCACAATAACCAACCGTCGTTTCCAGCGCCCACTGCAAAGCCAGCAGCGCGAGAATCCCCACACGCATCAAGGCGTGTGCCTATGGTCCTTCGTCGCCTCCAAAGAGCCCATTTAAACCGTGAGTAAGAATCTGAATTGCTTACTAACCCCATTTATTAAAACAAAAGGTGATATCAAAAATCGCAAATGCGTACATGTTTGTTCGTTAAACAAAACTCGCATACATTTTATAAAAATGGTGCTCTCATCCCGTTACAGAAAATTTCCGTACATATATGTACATTTCCATTTCTCGGTTTCCCGCCAAAACGTACACGGTTCCCGCCAAAAAAGCCTACGGTTCGCGATTAGCCAGTACATAATATCTACATATATAAAACATACATACATACACATCTCTCTTGGTTACTTATTCTTTTCTTTTTCCTCTGAAAAGTAAAAGAATAAATAACTAATGTGTATATGTACACATATATGTATACGCACAGTGCATCTTTATGTGAATGCCCGCTTGGAAAAAATTTGATAAACCCATTCCCACATAAATAAATGTGAATCTGCTTCACGCAGAAGGCTCAACATAAAATATATAAAGTACAATTAAATAATTGCTCGGCAAATTTTCCTTTGACAATATTATTAGAACATACAACCCCTTCTCTATTAAACATAACATATACCCATACATATACATAATTTTATATACATATTTACATACATACCATTAGTGTGGTACACACAATCATACGAATATTACATTAGTGCAGCTCGGTGATAAACATAGTCAGGGACAAAAAACCCCTTTTTGTTGTGCTCACACCCAAACACGCTCCCTCATAATCACAAAGCGGATATAGTAATACAAGGCGAACCTCTAGCTTCTGAAAATTTTTGTAAATACAATATTATTTTCCCCGAACGGCTCAAAATATTTATAATCTTTTAATACTACAAGGAAACATTTTTTTTTCGTTATTTCCCGCGATATTTCCCAAGACAAAATTGTGGTGTAAGAATTAAATTTCCCTTTAATCTCCGAAATACCACATTTGTAAAAATAAAAAATTAATTAAAAGTATATATGTACACATTCGGTAAGAGCTGAATAATTGCTACAAATACAAAAAATTGTCTATCCCAGATCGCACAAAGTTTGTGAAAGATAAAAGTCTGTGCGAAAATTGCATTTCTCAGACACACTTAATAAAAGATTGTAGCAGCACTAACACCTGCCTTCATTGCCAAAAGCGGCACCATTCAACACTCCACTATAGTGTAGCATCTACACCAAACAAAAAAGATGATCGAATCCACAGAACGACTTCGCAATATACAACCACACTGTCTAACGGTCCCAACTCACAAGCCACCAGTCAGTCGGAGGCGCTTAATGAACCGGCATCGTGTTCGAGCACAACACAAGTACAGTCCTTTTATTCGGAAAACGATAACAAGGTACTGCTCCCAACGCCTATTGTGTCTGTAGAACACAGAGGTGATCTCTTTAAATTAAGAGCCCTGATTGACCAAGGGTCCGAACGGAGCTTTATCTCTTCAAAGGCGCAAACAAAATTAAGACTCCCATGCCAAGAATCAAACTTCGAAATCTCTGGCATGGGGGGAAGGGTGGTTCAAACCTCTAATAAACTATGCTCTCTCATCTTAGTCTCCGCCGATAAAAGTACAAAAATAAAAGCTCAAGCTATAGTGTTGCCAAAACTAACCAGACTTCTCCCAAAGTTCCAAATGAGCCACGCCCAAAGAGAAAAATGGTCACATCTCAAATTAGCAGATCCAAACTGCCATTCTCCAGCTCAAATAGAGATAGTAATAGGCAGTGATCTTATCCCCCAAATCATGCTACAAGGTATCGAAAAGATTTCCCATAACTTATTAGCACAAAATACCATATTCGGCTGGATCTTAAGTGGTCAGATTCCCGAAAAGGTGGCATCATTCTCCACTCAGGTGGAAGAAATATCCAATAAATACTTGGACAATCAACTTAAAAGGTTTTGGGAACTTGAAGAAGTTCCAAAGGCTCATCTCACCACTCCAGAAGACAAGGAGTGCGAAGCCTACTATACAGCCACTACCACTCGCACAAATGATGGTCGATACATAGTCCGGCTCCCCTTTAAGCCCAACTTCCCAGATAAAATTTCCTTGGGCCGCAATTTTGCAAACAACTTGCAAACAATCCCCAACATCCAAATACCCCGCTGGGTTAACTATATCCCGGACCAAAATGTCGAGTCACACGGTTTCTGCGACGCCTCTGAAAAGGCCTATTGCGCAAATATTTATGTTCGAACCACAGAAGGCCTCCGTGTTTCCTCCCACCTGCTGGTATTGAAAGGTAAAGTGGCGCCTCTAAGAACCACAAGTTTACGCCGTGTCGAAGCACTCCATGCCACCGAAGACGACCCCGACATACTAAATCGCTTCTCCTCCTTTTCGCGCGCCCTCATGGTTATGGCATATGCCTTTAAATTCATGAATAACTTGAAAAATCGAATACGGAGAGAACATAATATACATTCCCCATCCCTCTCGCACGACGACCTCCGCTATGCAAAACACAGGCTCATAGCGTTAACGAAGACTCGGTATTTTCCTCGTGAAAAGGCATGTTTAGCCAATTCCGAGCCTATAGACAAGCGGAGCTCATTACTTCCACTCAACCCGTTTTTGGATAAAAATGGCTTACTAAGACTCAACGGTAGATTAGCTCACTCAACCTTGACGTATAATGAACGCCACCCGATAATTATCCCCGAAAAATCCCAGTTCGCTATTCTTTACATACGCTTCCTGCACGAACTGCTTCTCCATGCAGAACTCCGCCTCATGCAGCAAGTCATACGGCAAGAAGTTTATATTCCAGGCTCAAGCCCCTTCTTAAAAAATGCATATTTCAATGCAAACCTTGCACCGTCCATAAGCAGCAAACGCGCTCGCAAATAATGGCAGCCCTACCTCAGGAGCGGTGAACATATTCGCCCCCCTTTACAATTACGGGTGTCGATTTTGCTGGACCTTTTCAGTTAAAGGCCTCACTGCTAAGATCACACACCATGGTGAAGGGATACGTGGCTGTTTTTGTATGTTTAACGACAAAAGCTATCCACCTTGAATTGTGCTCCGATCTCACTACGGACGCGTTTCTCGCCGCGTTTGCTCGCTTCGTCGGACGTCGTGGTTATCCCGCTAAAATGATGAGCGATAATGGTAAAACGTTTGTAGGGGCCAAGCGAGCGACCGAACGGGAATTTCTCGCTTTCTTAAAAGAAGTATCACAAGATGTCATACATATGTAAATACTCTCCTCAAGGCATCAACTGGGAATTCATTCCACCCAGCGCTCCCCATATGGGTGGTCTGTGGGAATCCGCAGTCAAGAGTTTCAAAATGCACTTCAAAAAGACTGCCGGACCCAGCAAATTTACGTTTGAAGAGTTCACCACTCTCTTAATTAGGATAGAAGCCGTATTGAACTCACGGCCACTTTCTGCCTTATCGCAAGATCCAACAGATCTCACCGCACTAACTCCCGCTCACTTTTTACGAGGCGCCCCACTCTTAGCCCTACCAGAAATTAATCACCAAAATCTATCTCTGGTTAACAGGTGGGAGAAAGTAAAAGTTTTACACCACGAATTTGGTAAACGTTGGAAGGAAGAATATATAAAAGATCTACAAAAAAGGTACCGATGGAAAAACCCGCAGTCTGAGTCAAAAGTCGGCAAACTTGTCCTCATTGTTGATGATACTCTACCTCCCACTGAATGGCGTCTAG